CCTGGCACCCAGCACCCGGCACCCGGCGACCCGGCACCCGGCGACCCGGCACCCGGCACCCGGCACCCGGCACCCGGCACCCGGCACCCGGGACCCGGCACCCGGCACCCGGCACCCGGCACCCGGCACCCGGCGACCCGGCACCCGGCACCCGGCACCCGGCACCCGGCATCTGGCGACCTGCTTTGATCGTCGGGTGGGTGTAAGTGCGGTAAGAGCGTTGTATATCCGATGAAATCGTTTCAACGAAGATGTATGTAGGTTCATGCTAGTTGACCTCACATATTCAACATATATAAAATATCGAACTTCGCATTCATCTACTTAACGTTTTGTTAGATAAGTATATTCAACAACATACCATACATACTACTCACAGAACCATCCATCTTATCAACTGAGCTATCGGGTACCACTGCCAAGATATATCGATACATACACCTCAACATACCCAACTTAGTAGCTAAGTCAGCTAAGTCGATGTGGGCTGTCCGATTCGGTTAACCCGAAATTTGCATAACTTTCTATGTTTTGCATGTTTGTTCTTGATATTGCTATGTTTCGGGAAAAAACCACAAAAAACGTTTTAACAACTACAACACAACAGTTTTTCAGGACAGGGCGCCGCAGGTCGACGCGCCGAGCCGCCCTCAGGACGCCTGCGGGGCGCGGAGGGGAAGGGGGGAGAGGGAGAGGGGGGGGGATCAACTATTCTTCAAACTGCCTCCCCTCGGCGGCCATCACCGCCTCCCCTCTCCTCTCCTCGTTGTCGGCGGCCAGCCCGCCCCCGCTCCCTCCTGCCGCCTTCCCTCCCCGAGCCCGCCTTCCTTCTTCGGCGGCATATCCGCCCCTCCCTCCTGCACCTCTCTATCGAAGGGCGGCGCATCCGCCAGCGGCATATCCGCTCTCGCATGCGCTCGTTTTTTCCTTTTTCACGTGATGGCGAGCACATAGCCATCGTCCTGTAGTCGCCGATAAGCCGCCCAGGCTGGCGGGATCAGCTCGGCGGGCATCACGGCGACGTCGCCGCGCGGCCGCCACAGGGACGCGCCTGGGCATGGCGCGCGCACCCATTCCAGGGTCTCCACCAGCAGGTAGCTGGCGGCGCCAGCCTGCGCGCAGCAATGCACGATGTACGCCTCGCCGTCGCCCAGGAGAAAATCCTGAGGGCAGCAGCGCCTCGATTTTTGGGGGGGCACACGCATGTGCACCCCTAAATACCAAGGTTGGTTGCGCCGTCTGTCCTGGCTGCCGTACATCTGGCCGTCGATGGACGCCTCTCTGCTGGTCCACGTTTCAGCCCTGCGGAGGGGTCCTCCTCCTCCTCCTCCTCCTCCTCCTCCTCCTCCTCCTCCTCCTGGCGGCGAGCCGCCTCGGCGGCAAACCGCCTTCCCCTCTCCCAGCCCATCTTCCTCCACAAAGGGCATGCAAGGTTGCGCCCCGAGTGCCCGAACGTACTGTCCAGCTCTGGCGTGCGCCACGCTTTGGCGCGGGAGCGCGGCGCCTCCTTCGCTTCCTCCAGGAAGCAGGCGAGCATCGCCGTCAAGGCCGACCGCTCGAAATTCTCAGGGTTGTCGATCTCCTGCGACCTGGACCGAAGCAGGTTGTGCTTCCGCTCGAGTACGAAGGCGTCCAACCAGATGCCGTCCTCCGCAGGCTGGTCGGGGACGTGCCACAAATAATGATGCTTCGGCTTGATCAGGGCTGGCCCGTGCGCGGCTTTGTGCAGCGCCAAGGAAATCGAAACGGCCTTGGTCCAGACAGCTATCAAATTCGGCACGGCGCCGATCCTCAGGACGTAGCCGAACCGCCTGCCACCTAAGCGCTCGAGGATGCGCGCGGGCCGACGCGGTGCATCCTCGAACGCGCAGGCCAGCGTTTGCGTTTCAGCTGCGGCCGCATGTCCTTTTGCCCTGCATGTACAATTCGAGCATCTTCGCCATCGCCTCGAACGACCGCGCCGCAGCGTTCGCCATGCCGCTGGGACGCAGCTCTGTGTGCACCCAATGACGAATCAAAGGGAACACGGCCAAGCAATCCGACGCCTTGCCCACGAAGTGCGACGCCTTGCAGGTCGCTTTCTTCCGAGCCACGCTGAACAGAAACGCTGGCGGTTTCCTGCCGCGTCTGCCAGTCCGCCACGCCGAGCAGCGATCCCGCCACGTTCCCCACGCGTCGGGGATGACATCCCTCACCGCCTTGAGGAGCGCAAAGATTTCGACCTGCAAGGTCCCGCCGCTGGCCAGCATGGTATGCATGGGGTCCCTCACGTATGTGCTCGGCGGCGCCACCGTCCGCAACGCCTGGCACGCCACCAGAGAACGGTCATCCAGAGTGATGCCCATTGCCGTCTCCTTCGGGGGCCGGAACATCAGAAGGGAAGGAAGGGGGGGACATCAGAAGGGGATCGATGGAAATGTTTTCCTCCCTGGCTCCAGTCTCTCGATGTTCGCTCTGGTTGTCGTGTCCCGCAGCGACGCCAAATCATCATATTGCTGCAAAAACTCGTCTGACGACAGCGGGTCAAAGCGCGACGAGTCAGCGCACCAGAGAGGCACGAGGTAATCATCGTCGTCGTAGTCTGCAAGACATTCCGCCTGATCCAGCACAACGTTCTTGCATTGCAAGCACGGTCTCAGACCTGCAGCGCCCTTGGTGCAGAATGTCTCTTTTCCAGCCGCCTCGTCTGCAATCAAGCGGTGGAACTTGGCGAAAAAGTGCACGCCGCCGATTGGCGCACCGTGCTCCGACAGACTCTCTGGGCCCAGGAACAGCGCGCGAAGCAATGCCCGCGCCACGGCCGAGCCGCCGATGCTCTTCTTCACGACGACGCGCAAGGTGCCGATCGGCAGCCACGCAACCTCCTTCTGCAAGAAGGATCCGAACTCGAGGAAACTCGCATACACCGCGAGCTGATTCCGACGATTATCTATCTTCAAGGCGTTGCCCACGCCAATGTCGTCGTAGTACAGCAAAAGCCTCCACGGCCGATCGCGCGACACAGGGAAACGGCGCATCGCTTCCCAAAACATTGAACTCCAGAGAGGGCAGTCCGACAGGAGCCTCGGCATCAGCCGATGCGGCAGCGCCACGCTCCATCGGAAAGGCGTGCCGATCTTGGGCTGCAGCCGCACTGCGCTGATGAGATCGGCCACGGATGCCGTCTGCGATCGCTGCATGGCCCGAGCGCTCACGTCTATAGCATCGCCCGCGTCGTCGCCATGGCCAAGCGCAGTCACGATTCGCTCGAGCAAAGCCGCGGACACGCCGCGCAGGGCCAGACACTGTTGCAGTCGAGCCCGCTGCTCCACCTGCTTGTCCACCTGCAGGGCGCGTTTCCCCATTGCGCCGACGCCCGCGCGCGGGAGGGGCGGGGGCGGGGGGCAGCGCGAGGCCCAGCGCGGTTGAGAAAAACGAATTGCAGCCAGAGAGACGGAAGTGGAGGCGGGAATGGATCGCGGGGCGGAGTAGCCGCCGAAGGGCATGGCGGTGTAGCCGCCTGAAGGGTCGGGAGGGGCGGCGTAGCCGCCGAAGAGCGTGGGGGCGAGGGGGCATGGGGGGAGGGGGGAGGGGGGAAGGGGGTGGGTGGGGGAGATTGCGGAGGCGCGAAGTGAGCGTAGCAACGGAACTTGCAAGGGAGATTTCTTTTTCTCGCACGCAATTTCGAGCTTGAGTTTCAAGCTCGGGTTCCAAGCCGCCAGCGCTCGGAGACGGGCGCGGCTGGCGGCTCGAGCTCGGGACGGGCGCAGCGCGGGACGGGCGCGGCGGCGGCTGGCGGCTCTTAGTGCGGGTGCGCGTGCTGCCTCCAACTCCTCATCCACCTCCTCCTCCTCTCCTCATCCTGCCTCCTCTTCCTCCTTATCCTCCTCTATCGGCCCAGCCGATCGCCGCTCAGCTCTCCTGGTGCGGCTGGCGGCAGAAGAACCGAATGCCGCCTGGGATGTCCTGCACCATCTGCTTCGACATCTGGCACAGCATCTTGCCGCGCTCCTCGGTGCGGCGCGCCTCCTCCATCATGCGCCGCGCCTTGTCGATGAGCATCTGGCCCTTGATGCCAACGGCGCGTGCATGGCGGCAACGATTGCGCCACTCGATGAAGCGCACCACGATGGTCGCCCAGCTCCACGCACTGCCACCCGTGATGAGCTCGAAGTCATCGACGTCGTACTTGTCCGCGATGCTCGCCATGGCGGCGCAAGACCGCGAAGGGGCACGACCTCGAGCGGCTCCACTTGAGCCACAAAGACTACGGATGAGGGGTGGGACGGTGGCAGATCATGTCATTGGGAAACGCGAGAGAACGGTGCGAGCGCGGTGGGCAGCAAAGGCGGCATCTCCGCCAAATGAAGGCAAGGCGGCATGTCCGCCAAGGGCTTGCGAGAGTGGAAAGGCGGCATCCCCGCCAAACGAAGGGCTGCGGTGGTAACGAGTGGGGTGGCGATGGCAACGAAGAAATGTTTTTTTTCAACAACAATAACAATTGTACGAAATCACACACCTCGTCATGAGCGGCCCAACTGCCGCCCCTGCCAAGGAGCTGCTTCGCCTCTGCTTCGTCTCCGACCGCCAATCGATGGGATTCCCAACGGTGTCGCTGGCCTTCGCGAGCCACAGCTCGCGCGGTAGGGTCTCGGGCAGGACGCGCTCGAGCAGGAGGGAGTTAGGCAAGCGCTTCGCCTCGCCAAGTGAGGCATCGGAGCGCGATGAGCAGCAAAGGCGGCATCTCCGCCAAATGAAGGCAAGGCGGCATGTCCGCCAAGGGCTTGCGAGAGTGGAAAGGCGGCATCCCCGCCAAACGAAGGGCTGCGGTGGTAACGAGTGGGGTGGCGGTGGAAATGTTGTTTCACCAACAATAACAATTGTACGAAATCACACACCTCGTCAGGAGCGGCCCAACTGCCGCCCCTGCTCACGAGCGGCCCAGCGGCCGCGGCTTATTCGGGTCCTTCTCCACCTTTTTCAGGCCGTACTTCATGATGTACTGGGCCACCATGGGGCGCTCAGGTGCTGTGCTTCTGCGCCTCCTTGAGCATCCCCGCGATGGCCCTCGCCGCCGAGCTCGCATCCTTCTGGATGCTGATGGCCTCGTCCTGCGTGATCGTCAACGCCACGCCGCTGTGCACGCGCTTCTGCGCCACCGCCTTCATGACTGCCACAGACTTCCTCGCCGCCTTCGCGTTCTTCACAGCCCATGACGGCACCTTGTCCGCCTTCTCATGCTCGAGGTACCCGTCCAGCTCTGTCTCGAGCCTCGTTGCGGTGCCGATCCACTTCAGCGCCAGGTTTTTCTCCTGCGTCTCCTTCTTGGCCTGCTCGGCCTTCTCCCTCGCTTCCTGTCGCCTCCGCTCCTTCTCAGCGTCCTTATCCCTGCGGAGCCTTCGGGGTTGTCCGAAAATGACAACACTTCGAGCCGAGCGAAATCAATAACCCGATCCGAACCTGAAGAGTTGAACGGAAACCGAAAACGAATGCGAAGCCCAGGCGACACCCCTGCGTTGAACCCCCAAACGGCCTGCTCTTGCTCCTGTCCTTGCTCTTGCCGCGGCTCTTGCTCCTGCCCTTGCGGCGGCTCTTGCTCCTGTCGCGGTCGCCGCGCGAGCGGCTCCTGCTGCGGTTGGTGTCGCGACGTCTGTCGCGGCGTCTGCTCCTGCTGTCGCGCCTGCCCCTGCTGTCGCGCCTGCTCATGCTGCGCCTCCTCCTCCTGCGGCTGTCAGACCTGCGCCTGCGGCGCCGCCTGGATCTGGACATGTCGCTCTCGTCGCTTCTGTCGCCCTTGTCGCCGCCGTGCTCTGCGACGCCCGTCGAGGCCGCTGCCCGCGGGCCGCTCTGCTTCGCCTGCGTCCTCTTATCGGTGTACAGCTCGTTGCGCACTGCGGCCTCCACTGTCTCGCTCCAGGCCGCCTCCAATTGCGGCCTGTACGTCCACTCCCCGAGATCAGGGTTCCACCTCTTATCCTGCACATTATCTTCAATCTTTTTCGCGTCGAAGCCGTCGTGCGCCCACTTCCTCAGCGGAAGGTACTTGCCACCCTTGCGGACGCGCTCCTCCTCCATCCGTTGGACAGTGATTGAGCTGACCACGAAGGCTTCAATGCGATCGAGGTTCGACAGCCCAGGATCTTCTGCCAGATCCTTGTAGAACTGCTGCTTGAACTCACTCTTCATTTTGGCGAAACACTTTGGCGGCCACTGTCCGAACCTCCGAGAAAGGCGCACCCCGTTCGTGTTGCACGCGTCGCACTGGTAAGTCGACTGGCCCTTCGCCCTGATCCTGTAGTTGCACTCCTTTGCCGTGCGACAGCAGCGGTTGCAACGCACGATGCTATGCCCGATGCCATGCACATCCACGAACTCCCCTACCTGGGGAGCGCCTGCTGGCGGATCGTCCTGAGCTGCCTCCTCCTCCTCCGCCTGCGGCGCTGCCGCCTCGGGCGAGCGCTCCTCATTCTCAACCTTGGCTACCGCGCCCTGCGGTGGAGCCTCTTCCTCCTCAAGCTCACGCTTGGCACTCTCAAGCTCATCCTGTTTGACGCCGAGCTCGGAACCAATCTCGTCGCCGCGCTCCTCGGAGCCCGATGCCGCCTCTGACGCTGCGTCGTCCGGCTCTGGTGGCAAAGCCGCTGCGCCCTGAGGAGGCAGTTCTTCGGCGGGAGCTGCGGCTGACGCAGCTTTGCGAGCCGTCCTCAACGCTGCGGGGTGCTTACCTTTGCCCTTGCCTTTGCTTTTCCCGCGTGCCTTCGGCGGCCCTGCGTCGGTCAATGCGAGCGGCGGCACAAGCTGTCCAGTCAGTGTCATCTGCGTCCCCGATAGCTTAGCTTTCCCACGGGGCTTCGCTGCGGGCGCCTTGGTCATCACTCCCTTGTTTTTCGGCCTGGCTGCTCCGAACATCACTGCCAGAGAATGCTGCTGGTGATCTTCAGCGGGCGGCGTCCCCGCCATGGCGGCGTGACCGCCTTGGCACGCGAGAAGCCGCGCGTCGCGCGCGGCCCTGATGCCAAGATGAGCTGGACGCGAAGCGATGACGAAGAAAACGCGCGGTAAGTGAGGCGGGATAGCCGCCAGCGGAATAGCCGCTTCAAAGGTGGAGGGAGGGGTGGAGTGAGGTATGAAGGGGGCGGCATATCCGCCAGCGGACTCGCCGCTTGAGAGGGTGCAGGGGCGCGGCGAGGGAGGCGGATTGGCCGCCAGCGGACTAGCCGCTCGAAGCGTGGCGGACGCACGAGGTGATACGGATACTGAAATGAATTGCGCGCAACATGACAACCACACAAAATTGACATCATGTTATCATATGTTATCATATGTTATCAGGCGTGTGATAACACCATGCTAACACATGATAACACCTGATAACATGTTATCAGGTGTTATCAGGTGTTATCAGGTGTTATCAGGCGCGTGATAACATATGCTAACATATGATAACAGCCAACTTTTTTTTGCCAGTGCATGGCGGCGGCGTAGCGGCACGTCCGCCGAGTTAGTTAAGCGGAGCAGCAGGGGCGGAGCGGCGCCCTGCGCTACCGACCGCGGACGGCGCCGCGTGCTTCAAACCGCTGCCTGAGCGGCAGCGAAAAGACGGGCGAGCGCGGAAGCGAGGCGCGCTGCCTGAGCGGCAGCGAAGAGACGGGCGAGCGCGCGCAATCGGGGCGCGCTGCCTGAGCGTCATCATATGCAAGGCGATGGGGGGGTGGGCGGACATGGCGATGCAGCACATCCAGAAAATAGCCGCACTCATTCTTATGCGGATGCAGTTTTCTCCACCCAGCCCTTTTGCCAAATCCCATCCAACCGCCCACCTGTCTTATCCGCCGAAGTTCCCTCACCTTCCTCCCGCTCCGCTCGTCCACTCGCCCCCATATCGCCTTGCATTGGGGGGACGGCTACTCGGCCGCCTGCGTGGCCAAAATTCACCTCGGCGTGGCGGCCTTCACGAATTGAGTGCGGATGGAGTGTGTGGGGGTGTCCTAATTTGTTCTGACACAGGGGTGTGGATTGAAATTGCGTTGGAGGAGTGGGAGGGGGGCGTGTAGGGCCGACGCGTCGCGCCGCCTGCGCGAATGAGGCTACTGATGCTGAGGCGACATCAGTGCTGCCAGCCGTGCACCTGCACCTACGAGGTCGCGTTGCGCACCAGCCAGCTCGCGAGCACGTCCTCGCACTCGGCGATGCATTGCTCCTCTTGGCGGAAAGCGTTCACCGCGCGCTCCGCTATCTGGGCGCACATCTGCGTCGCAGTACGCGCGCGGCGCAACGAGTCGAGCACAGCCTGGCACTGGGTGCCGTTGAGCACCACGATGCTATCGGGCGACATCTGGCTGGCCAACGCCGTGGACATCCTCATGCCCGCCGTGGCTGACGAAGCTGCGCCTGACGATCCGCTGCCCTCCGAGAACGCGTCCTTCAGCTGGTGCGAGCGCTCCACGCGGGATTGTGGAGGGATTGGCGCCAGCTCGACCTTCGGCGCCCCCTTGCGCCTTTTGGCGGAGCCCCAGTTGGCCTTCTCCTCCTCCCATTGGCGCCACTCCGCGAGGTCGACTTCCCACGAGTCGGCCTCGAGTGCGATAGCAGCTACCTCCGCTTCGTCCTCGCTCAAGCTGTGGTACGGCGACACGTGAAGGTGGTTCACCAGCTTGTTCCTGGCCTCCTCCACTGTCTCTCCCTGGAACCACTTGCCGCCCCTTTTGCAGCTGCTGCTCTGTGGGCACTTGAAGCCGAACATGACGGTCTTCTCGCCCTGCTGGCCTGCCATGGCGGCAGGGCGAGAAGTGCACGGCTAGCGCAGGGGCGGCGTGGGGCGCGAGCCTGTGCGCGCCTAGATTCGAGCCGATACAGCGTCCCAACAACAAAAACATACATGTGTAAGAGGCGCGGTGGCATCGCACATTTCGGGATGCCAGCAGGCGGCGGCGGCGGTTTAGCCGCCAATGGAGGGCTCAGGGCGGCGTGGCCGCCAATGGGCGGTTTAGCCGCCAATGGGCGGCGTGGCCGCCAATGGAGGCTTCAGGGCGGTTTAGCCGCCAATGGGTGGCTCAGGGAAGGACTGGTGTTTTTTTCCAACCGCATAGAACAAACCCGATGCGCCGATGCTCGTATCTGAACGGCGGTTGTCCGCCAGGCGGGGGGAGGCGGCGCGTCCGCCAATGAGATAGATCGGCAACGAAGAGAGGGGAGGAGAGATGAGATGAGACGAGGCGGGGAGAGGCGGCGCGTCATGACGCGTCAGCGCGGATAGCTGCAACTATCCGCGCTCGAATTACGGAAGCTATGCACCCCAGCCCGCTTGCAGGTCCACGCGATCACCCTACAAGAAGACATCTCCGCGGGCGGGCGGGCGCGGCTTCGCTGGCGGTGGTGCCATCTTGCTTGTCGGCTGCAGCCGACGCCCTGCCCTCGGCTGCACCATGCTGGGCTTCCCTGCTGGCGGCTGCCTGGTCTTCGGCGGCGGCGGCCCCATGGTCTTCGGCGGCGGAGGCGGAACTGGAGGGTTCATATTGCCAGTCCTCCACGGCGCCTGCTGAGGCATCGTCTTGGGCAAGTTCGGCGCCATGGGCTCCCGATGCATCAGCTGAGGCTTGGGGACGTGCGCCTCGCGCACCCGCGGCGCTGCCTTGTTGCCGTGCAGCTTCGCGTACATCTCGCGCTTTGCGCCACCTCGGTTCCCCCAGCGCTTCGCATTGGCGCGCCACGCCTGGCCCTGCCACGTCTGCGGCCCGCCCATGGCGGGGCCAGGCGGGCCGCGGTCGCGGAACTTCTTGTAGTCGTACTTCATCTGGTACTCCTTGAGCACGGCGAGCACGGTCTCCGACCGCCAGTCGATGGGATTCCCAACGGGGTCGCTCAGCCAGGCTCGCAGCTGCGTCCTGAACGCCTCCACCGCGCTGGGATGCGCCTCCACCGCCTCGGGGGGCTCTTCCACCACAGGCGTCGCGCCCCGCATGTGCGACGCGAGCTCCTTCACGAGAGCCGAGGGCGGGAAAGGCCGCTGCCGCGGGTCCCGCGGCGGTGACGTCGGCCCCCGCCTGCGCGGCGGCGTCGACGGTGCCCGCGGGTGGCGCGGGCTGCGCGATCGCGCTGGCTGCGCCGCCAACGTGGGCGCGCTGGCTGGCCGACTGCCGCTGGCGGAGGAAGACCGATCCCCTGCGTTGTTGTCCACGCCCGCAAGGTCGGAGAGCAACTGCATCGCTGGCCCGAACATCTCCTGCGCCGAATCGCCAAAACAGTTCGACCGAGAGCGGCCAGCCAGTTTCGCGCGCGATGCGCGCGTCCCTGGCTACCGCACGCGGGGCCACTTGTTTTGGCGATGCAGCTGCCTCCAACGCGTCGAACGCGCTGCCGCTGTCTGCCATGGCCGCGGCCGCAGTGCGAGGCGCCGAGCGCGACGCGGTGGCTGCGGCGCAGCCTCGGCGCGCGGGCCCCAGCCCACGCGTCGGCGCGAAAGGGGGGGGCCGACCCCGCGCGGGCTCGCGGGCACCCGCGGGCCGCGGGCTTGAACCGAAATGGAATCGGACGCGGAAGCGAGACTTCGGGAGGAGGGGGAGGGGGTTGCCCATGGACCCATTGAAGTCTTGGAGCTCCTCGAGCCCTCGGGGGCCTCTCAGAAGGGCCCCGCTGGTTCTTGCGACGGGGTCTCGGGGGAGGGGGCAGAGTGAGGGTGGCATTGGGAACCAGAAATATAAGTGAACTGGTGTCCCTTTGAATGTGCAGGTCTTGGTTCACTTGTTTTCGTCGTTGAACGGGCGGTGGCAACGTCGGTGCCTTCGCGCGCGCCCATGCCATTCTGGGTGAACGCCTTCGCCGTTCGAGCAGTGGGCGTCTCCCCGACGTTAGTTGGCGTGGGATCCAGTGCCTGACAGCGGAGAGGGGGGCGCAGGGACGTGGCGCGGGGGCGCGGAGTGGGCCGATTAGGGGAGGGGGGCGGCGGCATGTCCGCCTGAAGGGCGGAGGAGCGCAAAGGGGTGGGGCGGGGGCGGCATGTCCGCCACGAGTTGGAAGGCGAGAAGGCTGCGCTACAAGGCGGCATATCCGCCACGAGGCGGCATATCCGCCACGACCTTTTTGTTATCCCGAGGCCGCCCCGTTGGCCTGGAGAGTTGAAGAGTCGTAGCGCGAATTACTCGCCGCGCGCCCTGGCGGCGAGCTCCTTCTTGACCAGCTCCTCCGCCTCCGCGATGGCCCTGGCCTCGGAGCGATCGGGCGCAACGAGGCAGCAGGGGGCGGAGGGGGCGTCGAGGCAGGGGCGAAAATGAAGAGAGCGCGGAGGAGGGCGTCGAGAAGGGCGTCGGTGAGAATCTGGCCTTGTCGGCCTCATCGCCCGCGATGTACTTCAGGCTGACGTTGCTGCCAGGGACGCCGACCCTGCCGCTGCGGAACTGCACCTGGGGGGCGGAGCAACGATGAACAGTCGCCTGAAAGGCGGCGGGCGCGCAAACTGCGACCCCAGCGGGGCTGCTGGGAATCGCCGCGCGCGCCCGACGCCTCATCGGTGGGAGGTTCAACCCCGCTCGCCAAGTTGCGTGTGGTCTGCATCTCCCACCTCGGCTTCGCCCACTTGCGCTGCTTGTCCTTCCCAGCCGCGCCGTCCGTCTTCTTGCCCGTGGGGAGCGGCGTCTTCTTAGCCACGTTGCCCGTGGCAGGCGGCGTCGTCTTCTTTGCCGCGTTGTCATTGCCAGGCGGCGTCGTCTTCTTAGCAGCATTGCCCGTGGCAAGCGTGGGGGCCTTCACCGCCTCGGCGTTCTTTTTCGTCTTGACCGCCTTCGTCCTCTTATCCATGGCCGCGACCATGGCCAGAGCCGCCTCCGTCGGGGTCTTCTTCAGAGAGCCTGCGGCGATGCCGACCTTCTCAGCCTTGGGCGGCGGCGTCACGGCGACGATGCCGAAGTCGGAGTCGGAGTCGAGCTCGATCGGCAGCTCATGCTTCTTCTGCTTCTTCGCCGCGCGGCTCTTGCTGATCGAGGCCGTTTGGGCGGCGGCGGTGCTCGATAACGGCTGACAGTCGGCGGGTTTGCCGCCATCGTGTGCCGCCAGTTGCTGCGTCGACGGCGCATCCGAACTCCCCGCCGCCATCGAAAGCTGGTGGTTCGAACCTGCTCGTTCTTGCAACGGCTCCTGCGGCTGCTGCGTCTGCGAGCGGTCGATCAGCTGGATGGCTGGGTTGGGCCAGCGGCCGCCGCTGCGCGAAAGCCCCACCTGAAATCAGGCGGATCACCGCCGAGCGAAAATATTCCCCCCCCCCATCCCCCTAGGGGGATGGGGGGGGGGGAATATTTCACAACACGCCCTCCATCCAGGCATCCAGAAACGCACCCCGCGCCGATCCAGGAACCCACCCCTCGACCCAATACCAGGTGTCCCGCGGGGGAATGCGTTCTGTTATTCCCCGTGGAGCCGTCGGCCAGCGCCCAGAGAACGAATCGGCCGCCGCGATGGGGAGGTGCTGCTGAGGAGAGCCGCCGCCTGGGCCGTGGGATGGCTGCAGCCCGCCGCGGGCGGGCGCAGGCGCGGGCAGCGCGAGGTGGCCGCTCTTCTTCCCTGCACGGAGATTAATCAGCTTCGCAATCGTCACCATCTCGACGGGATTTATCTGCGGCGCCGTCGCTCCAACACCTGGCGGGAAGGCGTCGACGTACGTGATGGGGTACTGAGACTGGAGCCTCCCAGGCGTGATGGGGAGAGCCTGGATGCCATCCCTGGGCGGCGGCATCGTCGCCACGAGATTCTTGAACGAGGATTTCACTGTGGCCAGATATGACTGCAACAGCTCCCTCGTGATCTCGCCCGTCTCCACGCCTGTCTGCTTGCACACCAGCAACAAGAATGCTGCCATATTGGCGGCCGTCGGGCAGCTCGGATGCCTCAGGCCAAGCGCCCCGAGGTGCTCTGAGAACGCCGCCATCTTGGCAGTGAAGCCCGAATGCGGCGAGAGCACGAACTCCCACAACTGAGGCGTCAGAAATTCAATGAACCCCTCGTAGTTCTGGAGCTTCCTCCCCTGCAGGCTGCCCGACGACAGAGCCTGCAAGAAGTCTCCCAGCTCGGACTGCGCCCACCCCACGCCGCCGCCCAAAGCAGCAAACTGCGCACTCTGGAGCTGCGACCAGCGCTGGGACGTCGCCGCCTGGATGCAGGCAGGAAGGTGCTCCGTCGCACTGCCGCGCGCTACGAACGCCGCCCGCGCCTCCTCCAGGCGGCCTCGAAGGATGCCCTCCATGGCAGCGATGCGGCGCGACCGCGCGCCGAGCGGAGTGCGCGACTCCCCGCGCGCGCACGCCGCCCGAAGCCCTCGGAGGAGGGCTCGCCAAAAACGGATCGAGCCAACGCGCGTGCGACGGACATATCCTACTCCTGCTCTTCCTGCTCCTCCTCCTCCTCCCCCTCCTCCTCCTCCTCCTCCTCCTCCCCCTCCTCCCCCTCCTCCCCCTCCTCCTCCTCCTCCTTCTCCTCTTCCTCCTCTCCCTCCTCCTCCTCCTCCTCCTGGGTGAGGGGGGGCGCAGGGGGGAGAGGGTGTCGAAGGGGGGGCGGGGGAGGGGGTGCCGAAGGGTGCGCGGGGGGGAAGAAGAGAGCTATGGGGGAGGGTGGGTCAAGGAGAGGCCAGGGAGGGGAGGGGGGAAAGGGGTGGGCGGCTTGCCGCCGAGGGGGTGGAAGGAGGCGGCAAAGCAAGCCGCCGATAGGGCGGTTGGGAAGAAGCGGTTTCCCGCCACGAGGAGGAGAAGGCGGTTTGCCGCCAGAGGAGGAGTAGGCGGTTTGCCCCCAGAAGGGGTAGGCGGTTTGCCGCCAGAGGAGGAGAAGGCGGTTTGCCGCCAGAAGGGGTAGGCGGTTTGCCGCCAAAGGAGGAGAAAGCGGTTTGCCGCCAGAAGGGCGGTTTGCCGCCACGGAGGGGGAGAAGGCGGATTGCCGCCATGGGGGGGGGAGAAGGCGGATTACCGCCGACGGAGGACGAGGCGACGGAGGAGAAGGCGGTGCGCCGCCTAAGGAAAGGGGGGATAAGGGAGGGCCGAAGACACATGGATAAACATTTTCCTCCTTCCCTCCCCCCTCCCCGCGGGCATGCGCGCAGCCCGCAGCGCCGCGGCCGCGAGGTGCAGCAAGTACCTGCGGCGCCTCGGTCCTGAACAACTGAACAACAACAACAACGGAAATTCAATGGATTTCAAAAAAGTTAAGAATAAAAAATACGCAAATGATTAGCAAAACACGAATATGTTCAGCCTCATCGACTTAGCAGAGATATCTAACTTAGTATATTATTTACATCTACACTTACAAACACCATAAGTATTGCATATGCACACATGAGATGCGCGATCAACAAGTGTACGTTCTATGGCTTAACTAAGAGTATGTAAGATGAACGCTCTTACCGCACTTACAGCCACCCGACGATCAAAGTGGCGACCTGGCGACCCGGCACCCGGCACCCGGCGCCCGGCGACCCGGCGACCCGGCACCCAGCACCCGCGCGGCATCCGCGGCACCCGGCGACCCGGCACCCGGCACCGGGCACCCGCGGCACCCGGCACCCGGCACCTGGCACCCGGCACCCGGCGACCCGGCACCCAGCGACCCGGCACCCGGCACCCGGCACCCGGCACCCGGCATCTGGCGACCTGGCGACCTGGCGACCCGGCACCCGGCACCCGGCACCCGGCGACCCGGCGACCCGGCGCCCGGCACCCGGCACCCGGCGACCCGGCACCCGGCGCCCGGCGACCCGGCGACCCGGCTACCTGGCACTCAGCACCCAACATCCGGCAACGCGGCGACCCGGCACCCGGCACCCGGCACCCGGCACCCAGCACCTGGCACCCAGCACCGGCCCGGCACCCGGCACCCAGCACCCGGCATCTGGCGACCTGCATGGCGACCTGGCGACCCGGCACCCGGCACCCGGCACCCGGCACCCGGCACCCGGCACCCGGCGACCCGGCACCCGGCACCCCGCACCCGGCACCCGGCACCCGGCACCTGGCGACTCGGCGTCCTGGCAACGACCTGGCACCGCACGTTTCTGCAATTCCAAGGGGAAAAATGCCCAGCGGACCTTAATCTGTCCAACCAAAAATGGGGGTGGGTATATGCCCAGGAACGCTTCTGACAATGCCCGACCTGGCCAGGACGCAGCCGGCCGAACAACAACCGCATTTTGGTGACGCGCAGGTAGTCCATGCTGAAGCCAATGTTGGCCGTTGTGAAGTAGACGCCTGCTTCTTCCATCTGCTCGTGGGTGAGGACGTTTTTCTTTCCGAACGCCCACATGAAATTGCCCCTATACGTTGTGCGACACGCGCTGGATCTTGATCGCTGCAATGAGACCTGGTCGATGCCGCTAGGCCCCACAACAGTTGCGGTACAGTCAGCGTTGGTGTCTTCAAAGAGATTGTCATTGCACCCCTTGGTGGCGCATTTCCTGAGGAGGTACGAATGCACAGGTAGCATTGTCTGCAAACCCTCTGGCAATGCACTTAAAGCAAAATGCTACGGATAATGCAACAACATGGATGCTGCACTACGCTGGTTCGCATGGAAGCACGCGCCGCTGCACTCTGAAAGCAATGACCGCCCAGGATGTGCTGCTTTTTATCTCTTCAGTTCGTGTAAGTTCAGTGGGCTTGTGAGATCTCACAGCGATGCTTACCGTCTGCGCATGCAACAATAAATGTGCGACAAGTTGTAAACCAAATCGATCTTGCCGAAGGCGCATGCTCGGAAATCGCAACGAAAAATAACACGACACCGAAGCGCACACCGCACATAGCGTCTCCCACATACCCGAACGTTGCTCGGACCACGGCCAGAAACGCTGAGAACCGATGGTACGGGGGGGAGTCGCTCGGTCGGCGAGATCGGTTTCGCTTAGGAGGTGTTGCATTTTTTCGCACAAGAAAGTTGAGATACCGTAGCTCTCGACATATGGATTGGCCGCCCATGAGAAGACAGCACTCTGGTTGCGACGCTCACTCATCGAAGCTTGCGAACGGCTTCACGATGGCGCTGATGCCCTGGCTGGTGCCCTCGTACGCGTCGATCCCCGACTGGATCTTTGCGGGACCAGCGGGCGTGGACATGATGGCTCCGTCGAACATGTAAACCAACGCCTCCGTGCTGCTGTCCTGGCCCTTGATCGCTTCGACAAGTTTTGCTAGCTCCTCGTCTTCGAGCGCGAACGTGGCGTACGCGAAGCGGGTCGCATCGGGGGCCCGACGGTCACCGAACTGGTTGCGCAGGTAGTGGAAGCGGGGGCTGTCCATGATCACGCGCCTGCCCTCGCCGACCTCTCGCCGCAGCGCCCATAGCGGCGGCAGCACGTTCGTCGGCGTGCCCTGGACTTCGCTGCGTCGTCCGAAATCTCCATGTAGTCCTTGATGAAGCCCCTCCAGGCGCCCACGTGCAGAATTGACTTCCTCCAGATGCCGTAGGTCGTCGAGTTGTGCGTGATGCGGCACGCCTCGCGATAGCCCGTGCGGGAAAAGGCAGCCACGAAATCGACGTCGACGGCGTGGCCCTGGAACGCAGCCGCGCGCGCCTGCCTCGTAAGCTCCTGCGCGGCCATGCCGAATGCGTACATCCGCCCTGGAGGGCCCCACGGCCTGTAATACTTCACCTCGATGGTGCTGAAGTCGCCCTCCTGCGCGCCCTTGGTTTCGTGCCATTGAATGTAGCTCTCCAGTTGTTTCTGCCTGGAGTCTATGCCCTTGGCGCAATAGGCGCGCAACTGCGTCAGGTTCACTATCTCGCGCAGGACGGCTGCGGGCTCACTGAGGTCATACTTTTGCACGCCTGTTGCATCGGGGTCAGAATTTGAATCGGGCTCGGAGCGCATGCGGCCGCGCTCCAGATCGGTCCAGATCCCCCCCCCACTCTTCGAAACTCCCGAGCTTCTCTCCGCAGTTCTCCACGCGGGACATGGCGTCCGAGAACTTTTGCACATCGATCTGGAGCTTCTGGTCGCCGCCCGCCAGAGGGAGCTTCTTGAAAATATGCGGAAATGCATGAATGGAGTCATCCAGGTTCTGCAGCTTGGTCTTCTTGCCCTTGACGGAAGTGCCGCGGACCCCTGGCAACAGCGTCGGTGAGAGAGACTGGAATACGTACGGCTTCAGAATACGGTGCTTCTGCGTGGCCGCGTATGTCGACCAAGAGTTTCCGAGCGCCGTCACCTGGCCCGCTGCTACCGCTGCCGTTGGCCGTCGAATCCACATCCACGGGCTTTTTTCCCGCCGTTCGCCATCTGCTGCACGAAGGAGATCGTGCGATCTTGGGTGCCCTGGCCCGGCAGCGATATGAAGCGTCTGCAGTCGTCGGCGGAGTAGTTCTGAAGGAACGGGAGCAAGTGATGCCGCATGTAGATGTGGCGCGCGACGGAGCTAGCCAGGAACGGCGAGAGCGTGGAGTCTTCGAGGAAGACGCGATCGCCCGCGCGCACCTCGGCGGGCGACGCGGAGTAGGAGCTCTCCAAGGGAATCACCAGCAGTCTACGACACCAAGACTTCAGCGAGGGGGGGTCGTGCGGTCCCCGACCACGGAGGGCAGCGCGAAGCTCAACTCCCAGAACTTCCCCGCGCAGGGCCATCCGAAGTATTCAGTTGTCTCCCCGTAGTTCGGTCGACAGGGAGGTACTTCGCCGCTGGCGAATTTCTTGGCCACCTCCTCCTGCAATGGGTTCCCGCCGCTGCACTCCTGGGTGGTCAAGAGGGACGCCCCCGCGAACTGGCCGCCCTGCTTCCTGAACCGTCGTCTTTCTGCAGGCACGACGCGCTCATGAACTTGTCGGAGTCGGCGAATACGTTCGCGCGCAGCTTCGTCGTCGCAGACTTGCTGTTGCCGCCGCCGCCCTGCAAGACGATGATTTTCGGCGGTGCAGGCTCGCCGTGCGTCGCGAGAGCCTCGACGGCCATGGCGACTCTGCGCCCTGCTGCCTGGCCCGCACAAGGAGTGCACAAGAACAGTCTGAGACGCTCGACGTCTGCCTGGGCAGGTGTGTACGTGAGAGACGCAGGGATGTGCGTGTAGCAATCGTTAGTCGGCGACCTCGGCATCTGCTCCAGGCGGTTCCCCGCCGCCCAATTGCCAGACGCGACCAGCGTACAATCCTCGAAGTTCATGGTGCCATTGGGCGCAGGGCGGGGCCGCTTAAACCAAGCGCCATAGAGCTTCACGCATTGCGACTGTCGACCAGAACCCGTGTACCTCGAAAGCAACGTGGGCATGGGGCCTGCGAGTTCGAGCGGCCAACGTCCGACGACTTCTGGCTCGTCCATCCCTGCATCCCCTCGTCCATGGCCCTTGCCTCTTCCTCTGCCATTGCCTCCGCCAGGTCCTCGGAGTTCGGCATTCGTCACGGGCGTGAACTCCGAGTAGTCGAAGGCGCGAAGAGATACATAACATCATCCCACTGCCGCGCCACGTCGTTCTGGGCCAGGTATACGAGCAGGCGAACAGCACGAGCCACACTTTCCTACAGGAGGCGGAGCGTGCGTTCATCTAGTTCTTCCACTGGTCGCCAAGCGCCTTCCTTGTACTGCGCAACGCTGCCCTTGTGAGCGCGGAACTTATCTGTGAAGAGGGCGCCGAGAACACGCGCGCATGAGAGGTCGCTGCGGGGGTCCCAAGGAATATTCATCTCCACGTGCAACGCAATGAGTGTCAAGGCCGTGGTCCAGGTCTCTGGCATATCCTCTCGACCCCATTCAGAGATCTCTTCCTTGAACTTATGTGAGAAACTCGCGGTGATCTTGGCGAGCGAGTCGTCCACTGGGTCGCCCTCAGGAAGAATGACCGCTCCGTGGCCGTTATCATTCAATTGTGCGAATTCAGAAGGCCCCCACTGCTGCAATATGATATCTCGCTCGACCACCTGGCCAAGTTCCTGCTCGAGGTCCGCGTTGTTCTGTGTGTCGGCCTCCAGAGCCGGGGGGCCTCCGACGCGTGGTCCGCGACGCGCGCGTTTGCCGCCGCCCTCCATGCAGTGCGAGAACTTGTTGGTGTCGTAGGCCTTGTCGAAGAAACGCAGGTGGCCGAAGGGGCGCGGCCAAGAGCCTTGGCCAGCATCCCTCACTGAGATAGATGGCAACGCTGCCGCTCCAAGGACAGGCAGAGACGCATGTAGCGTCCGCCTGGCGCTCTTGGAAAGCAACGTCTTGAAGTGCATCTTGGGGTTGGTGCGAGACCTGACCTTCGAGGCCCAGTTTGAACCAAAGCGGCTGATGCTACGGTGCAAATACACATGCATTTTCTTCTGGCACGGCCCAGGGGGACTTCAAGCTCGTCTCAAGACGGCCCAGAGGGTTCCCAAGACGGTCTTAAAACCCCAGCCGGCCCAAGAGAGCCCTGACACGGCCTCGGGGCCAACGCGATAACCCAACAGAGCTCCACCATGGCGCCAGGAGACCCCGAAGGGGAATGCGAACTTAGATTTCGGGCGCTTCCTCCTCATATGGCACCAAGACCCCTGCAGACAATCTTGAGGCGCCCCCAAGAGGCCCAAGAGACCGCCAAGACGCACGCAAGAACCCCCCCTAAGAGGTTCAACTACAAAACTCCCAGATGTCATCTATAGCTCCACAAGAGGACCGCGAGAAGCATCCCATGATACCCTCAGATTCATTCAAACAATCTTGACCCAAAGCCCAGGCGCGCAAGCGAGTTGGGCCGAAGGCCACTCGATGACTTCAACGATCGTCGCAACTCTTATCGCTTTCTGAGAGTCGGCTGAATGGCGTAAGCCGCTTGAATAACAGATGTTGTCTTCATGTTTCATTGTATTGCATCAGCTTGCCCTTCGCTGGCTCTCACGAAGGATTGTAATTTTGACAGGGATTCACATTTCAGGCCGCTCGCCCCTTGCATTGTTTCTGATTCCCGTAGTACATTAATGGTCGTTTTCTCAGATCACCACCCCCTCAGTTTCATTGACGTCGTCAATCGTTTTTCCTGTTGATGCTATTGCGGGTTGCTCTTCATCCGCTTGCATGTCGTTCTCCTCGCTCTCCTTTCCCTCCCTCTCCTCTCCTCCTCCACCCCCGGCCGCATGGCCGGCAACCTCCCAAACTAAAGCCTTTTAGGGTTTAGGGCCGTTGGCCCCTAAATTCCCAAATGCGTTCCAAGCGCTCCCAGGCGTTCCCTGGCGCTCCCAGGCGCTCCCAGGCCCTCGCAGGCGCTCTCAGGCGCTCCCAGGCGTTCCCCAGCGCTCCCAGGCGCTCCCGGCGCGTTCCGGAGCACGCCCATGCGCTCCCAGGCGCTCCCTGGCGATCCCAGGCGCTCCCAGCCGCGCTCCCAGGCGCTCCCAGCGCCCCTGGGCGCTCCCAGGCGCTCCCGGCGCGTTCTCATGCGCTCCCGGGCGCTCCCAGACGCATCCACGTGCTCCCAAGCGCGCCCAGGCGTTCCCGGCACGCTCCCAGGCGCCCCCGGCACGCTCCCAGGCGCTCCCGGGCGCTCCCAGGCACTCCCGGCACGCTCCCGGCACGCTCCTGGCACGCTTCCAGGCGCCAGGGGCTCCCAAGCGGGAGCGCGATCTTCGAGCGGGCACGCGCGGAAGCGCTCTCGGCGATAGCGCACCCCAATTGACTTCGCTACTGTCGTAAACATTTCGACGGGCGGATGCGCCCCCGGTCACGACCCGCTCCAGAGCGCTCCCAGGCGCTCCCGGGCGCTCCCAGGCGCTCCCAAGCGCTCCCAGGCGCTCCCAGGCGCTCCCAGGCGCTCCGGGGCCCTCTCGGGGCGAACGGAAGCGGCTCCGGAAAGGCACGCCGGCACGCTCCGCGGCGCTCGCAGGCGCCCCCGGCACGCTCCCAGGCGCTCCCAAGCGATCTCGAAGCTCCCAGGCGCCCCGAAGCGCTCCCAGGCAAGGGCTCCCAGGCGCTCCCAAACGCTTCCGGCACGATGTCTCGAGCGAAACGATTGTTTTCAGAATTTGTTGAGGATTTCTCGAGCGAAACGCTGGTTTTGCAGAGCCGACCGCGACGCGGAAAAGCGCCCCGCGCGCAGGAATTTCCGAGGATGTCTCGCGCGTGCCGCGTCCCGCGCGCAGGAATTTCGAGGATGTCTCGACTACTTCGTTTGTTTTTCTATGATTCCCTTGAATTTTGGCAAGATGTCTCGAGCGAAATGCTTGTTTGTTTTTTCATAATTGGTTGAGGATGTTTCGAGCGAAACGCTGTTTTGCAATTTTTTAAATAATTAGTTGAGGATGTCTCGAGCGAAACACTGGTTTTGCAAAATCGGGGGATGTCTCGAGCGGGGCCTCGTGGGGGGGCAGAATTCAAAGGATGTTTCAGGCAAAATGCTTGTTTTCACGTCCCGCTCGGAGGAATTCCGAGGATGTCTCGCGCGTGCCGCGTCCCGCGTGCAGGAATTCCGAGGATGTCTCGACTAATTTGTTTGTTTTGCTAGGATTTCCTTGGATTTTGACTGGATGTCTCGAGCGAAGCGTTTTTCCCCAGCGCGTTCCGTAGCGCGTCCCCTTGGCACGTCCCGCGGTGCGTCCCCATGGCACGCCCCTTGGCACGTCGCTTGGCGCGTCCCTTGAGACGTTCCGCCGCGCGTCCTCCTGGCATGTCCCCCTGTCAATCAGCCCTGGGGCAGCTACTCTGTGTTCAAGCAGCTCGAGCTTAAGATCGAGATCAGTTCGGTCAGGACTCGGATGCAAAGGAGGACTCGATCCACGAGGCTATAGAGCACAATCGCGGCAGGGCACATCGCAATTCAGCACGGCGCAGCACAGCACATATTTCGGCACGGTACATCAAGATCGATACACTCAGCATTGCAACTTGGCACGTTCCTTGGCACGTTCCGTGGCGCGTCCCTTGGCGAGTCTCCCTGGCACGTCGCGTGGCGCGTCCCCTGGCACATCCCGTGGCACATCCATTGGCACGTTCCGTAGCGCGTCCCCTTGGCACGTCCCGCGGTGCGACCCCATGGCATGTCCCCTGGCACGTCGCCTGGCGCATCCCTTGGGACGTTCCGCGGCGCGTCCTCCTGGCATGTCCCCCTGTCGATTAGTTCTGGGGCAGCTACCATCTGCTCAGGCAGCTCGAGCTTAAAATCCGGATCAGTTCGGTCAGGACTCGGATGCAAAGGAGGACTCGATCCATGACGCTATAGAGCACATTCGCGGCAGGGCACATCGCAATTCAGCACGGTGCAGCACAGCACAGCCCTCGGCAGGGTACATGAAGATCGATACACTCAGCATTGCATTTGCCCGTCACCCAATCAGGTGTCTTTGAAAACGCTGCCATGTGTTTCAGTTCTATATTCCTTTCCGGGTTCGTGGGTCGATCATGTTTTTTTCCGGGTTCGTGGGCCGATCATGTTCAGAATTTGTTGAGGATGTCTCGAGCGAAACGCTTGTTTTGTGTTATAGATTGTCCTTCCTGGGGGCCAGAATCCAAGGATCTCTCAAGTGAAATGCTTGTTTTCACGTGCCCAGGTCTTGAGGATGTCTCGAGCGAGACGCTTGGTTTTCACGCTCCAGTTGCCCAGGCAGAGGTGTAGCGCCAGGATTTGTTGAGGATGTCTCGGGCGAGACGCTTGGTTTCACGCGTCCTCGTCGCCCAGGCGGCTTTTTAGCATGAGGATATGTTGAGGAAGTCTCGATCGAGATGCTTGTTTGCACGTGTCCAGGTTGCCCAGAGAGATGTCTAGCATGAGGATTTGTTGAAAGTGTCTCGAACGATGCGCTTGTTTTCACGTGTCCAGGTCGCCCAGGCGGATGTCTGACATGAAGATGTGTTGAGGATGTCTCGAGCGAGACGTTTGCCTCACGTGTACAGGTCGCCCAGGCGGATGTCTAGAATGAGGAGGTGTTGAAGACGTCTCGAGCGACACGCTTGTTTTCACGTGCCCAGGTCACCCAGGCGGACGTCTCGCATGAAGATGTGTAGAGGATGTCTCGAGCGAACCACTTGTTTTCGCGTGTCCTGTTCGCCCAGGCTGATGTCTAGCATGAGAATGTGTTGAGGATGTGTTGAGCGAAACGCTTGTTTTCACGTGTCCAGGTCGCTCAGATGGATGTCTAGCATGAGGGTCTTGACAGAACTTCTCGAGCGAAACGCTTGTCCCCAGCACGTTCCGTAGCGCGTCCCCTTGGCACGTCCCGCGGTGCGTCCCCATGGCACGCCCCTTGGCACGTCGCTTGGCGCGTCCCTTGAGACGTTCCGCGGCGCGTCCTCCTGGCATGTCCCCCTTGTCAATTAGCTCTGGGGCAGCTACTATGTGTTCAGGCAGCTCGAGCTTAACATCCAGATCAGTTCGGTCAGGACTCGGATGCCAAGGAGGACTCGATCCACAACGCTATAGAGCACAATCGCGGCATGGCACATTTCAATTCAGCATGACGCAGCACAGCACAGACTTCGGCACGGTACATCAAGATCGATACACTTAGCATTGCAACCTGGCGCGTTTCTTGGCACGTTCCGGGGGGCGTCCCTTGGCAAGTCCCCCTGGCACGTCGCGTGGCGCGTCCCCTGGCACATCCCGTGGCACGTCCATTGGCACGTTCCGTAGCGCGTCCCCTTGGCACGTCCCGCGGTGCGACCCCATGGCACGTCCCCTAGCACGTCGCCTGGCGCGTCACTTGGGACGTTTCGCGGCGCGTCCTCCTGGCATGTCCCCCTTGTCAATCAGCCCTGGGGCAGTTACTATGTGTTCAGGCAGCTCGAGATTAAGATCGAGATCAGTTCGGTCAGGACTCGGATGCAAAGGAGGACTCGACCCACGATGCTATAGAGCACAATCGCGGCATGACACATCGCAATTCAGCACGGTGCAGCACAGCACAGCCGTCGGCAGGGTACATCACGATAGATACACTCAGCATTGCAGTTGCCCGTCGCCCAACCAAGTGTCTTTGAAACGTTGCCATGCTTTACATCATTTCTACATTCCTTTCCGGGTCCGTGGGTCGATCATGTTTCACAAGTGCAACGCTTGGGTGTCTGGCAACGGCGTCGGCTTCTTGGACTTCTGGAACCCTGGGCTGTGTCTGTGTGAGAGTATAATCGAAGTGTATGTGTAAGTGTAAGTGTAAGTGTAATTGTACGTGTAAGTGTAAGTGTAGATGGGCGTGTACCTGTGCGTGTGTGTGTGTGTGTTTGTGTCTGTGTGTGTTGTGGTGGTTTGTGTTGTGTTGTGTTGTGTTGTGTTGTGTTGTGTTGTGTTGTGTTGTGTTGTGTTGTGTTGTGTTGTGTTGTGTTGTGTGTGTGTGTCTGCGTGTGTGCGTGTGTGAATGTGCATGTGTGTCCGTAGCATTTTGGCGCCATCTGGCTCAAGCGAGAAACGCCAGCGTACGTGCCTCACCGTACCCTCCTTTCCATCGAGTTCGCCTTTGTGACGTGCACGCCACGATGACCCAGAAGGCGCCTGCCCGAGCGTGCTTGCTGATCCCTCTCCTCGCCCACGGCGTCTTCGGTACGACCGCAGCGGCGGAGGTCGACCTTCAGGAGGACACCGTGCTCCTTCAGCTCGGCACGGACGCCGCGAGCTTCGACCTCGCCCGCGTCAGTTCGCTGAAGGGCGTGTCTACAGTGACCTCCACAGTGCTCCCCGTGAACACCAGCCAGCAGACAGGACGACGCCAAGTCGAGGCGGCTGACCACATGGTGAAGGGAGCCTTTTGGAACCAGGTGGGGCAGGACATCGATGGCGAAGCCTCAGGCGATCGGAGTGGCGAGGTGGTGTCGCTGAGCAGCGACGGCAGCCGCGTGGCCATTGGAGCTCGCTACAACGACGGTGCTACTGAGCTTGATTCTGGTCACGTTCGCGTCTTCGTGCTCTCGGGCAACACTTGGAGCCAGTTGGGGCAGGACATCGATGGCGAAGCCTCAGGCGATTACAGTGGCGTGGTGTCGCTGAGCAGCGACGGCAGCCGCGTGGCCATTGGAGCTGCCACCAACGACGGTGCTGGGTTGAATTTTGGTCACGTTCGCGTCTTCGGGCTGTCGGGCAACACTTGGAGCCAGTTGGGGCAGGACATCGATGGCGAAGCCTTCGACGATAACAGTGGCTTTTCGGTGTCGCTGAGCAGCGACGGCAGCCGCGTGGCCATTGGAGCGATATTCAACGACGGTGCTGGGTCGAATTCTGGTCACGTTCGCGTCTTCGGGCTCTGGCAACACTTGGGAGCCAGTTGGGGCAGGACTCGATGACGACGCCTCAGGCGATCGGGAGTGGCCTGGCTGTGGTCGCTGAGCAGCGACGGCATCCGCGTGCCATTGCAGCGCAGCAAAATGACGGTTCACTGGGGTCGAAATTCTGGTCACGTTCGCGTCTTCGGGCTCTCGGGCAGCAGTTGGAGCCAGGTGGGGCAGGACATCGGCGGCGAAGCCTCAGGCGGTTTCAGTGGCCAGTCGGTGTCGCTGAGCAGCGACGGCAGCCGCGTGGCCATTGAAGCCAGCTAAATGACGGTGCTACTGGGTCAAATTCTGGTCACGTTCGCGTCTTCGGGCTCTCGGGCAACACTTGGAGCCAGTTGGGGCAGGACATCGATGGCGAAGCCTCAGGCGATGTCAGTGGCGTTTCGGTGTCGCTGAGCAGCGAGGGCAGCCGCGTGGCCATTGGAGCGACCAGAAACGACGGTGCTACTGGGTTTGATTCTGGTCACGTTCGCGTCTTCGGGCTGTCGGGCAACACTTGGAGCCTGTTGGGGCAGGACATCGATGGCGAAGCCTCAGGCGATCGGAGTGGCGTTTCGGTGTCGCTGAGCAGCGACGGCAGCCGCGTGGCCATTGGAGCTTTCTTCAACGACGGTGCTGGGTTGGATTCTGGTCACGTTCGCGTCTTCGCGTCTTCGCCAACGCCGGCACCTACGCCGGTGCCTTCGCCAGCGCCGACGGCCGCACCATCGGCTTCGCCAACGCCAGCACCGACGCCCGCGCCGACGTCGGCACCGATCTCAGCTGCAGTCGGGGATCCCCACCTGATAAATATGCACGGGGAGCGTTTTGATCTCCTCAAGGTCGGCAGACACTTGCTGGTCGAGGTCCCACAGTTTGCAGCTTGAGCTCAAGATCCAGATCGGTTCGGACAGGCTTGGGGTGCCAAGCATGGCTTGATCCACGACTTAACAGAGAACAGCAAAGTTCCACAGCATGGCGCAGCACAGTGCAGCACAGCACGAATCAATCGCAATTTACGCTATGATCGCGGCCCTGTTTTTCCCAACCATCCTGTGGTGTTGGGTCCTCGTTTTGAAGAGACGGTGGCCCGCGTCTCCCCTCCTCTCCTCCTCTTCCCCCTCCTCCCCTCCCTCCCCTTCTTCCATGCGTTTCACCCACCCAGTACAGCGTTTCGTGGCCCCATAGAGAGCTCCACCGAAGGCCCCCAGTGGCTGCGTTCGCATGGCGGCCTCGGGCCATTTCGGCACAACCCTCACGAGGATCGTGGCCCCTTAGGGAGCTCCACCGAAGGCCCCAGTGGCTGCGTTCGCATGGCGGCCTCGGGCCATTTCGGCACACCCCCCTCCAGGATCGTGGCCCCATAGGGAGCTCCACCGAAGGCCCCCAGTGGCTGCGTTCGCATGGCGGCCACCGTCCTGGTGGGCTCGTAGGCCAAATGGCCCCAGGTCAGGGCGAGATAGAGGAGAGGACGTAGGAGGGGTGCGCATCAGGAATCCACGTCGCAAATGTCTGAGGCATCCACTGCGCCCGTGGCAGGCGCAGTGCAGCGCCCGTCGTGCCGCTCGTGGTAATGCTGCTGGCATTCGTCCTGCTGGGTTCCGTCGTGCTGCTCCTGGTGAGAATGCTGCTGGAGGCCGTTGTGCTGCTCGCAGCGCTGGTGGAGCCTGTCGGGTCCCCTCTGTTCCCTGGGGAGGTGCACTTCTCACAAGATGTCATCCCAATTCACCGTGCCACGGAGCCGTTGGGCCGACACACGCGACCCCCCTCTGGTGTCTCGCTGCGCGCGGACAGGTTAGCATGGCATATGGGCGGCACCAGAAGAGCATGAGTGCAGTAGGAAATCGGCAACAAGCAAGTCCTCACGAGAAGCCCAGTTTTGAAGTGCTCAGACCTACAGATTGATCCCTGCGCCCTTCCGTGTGACCGTCCTTTCTACTCCGCCTCTCCTCTGGCTTGCGTTTCTCTCCTCGGTCCCTTTTCTGATTATATGTATATGTATACTATACATACATACATACATACATACATACATACATACATGCATGCATGCATGCATGCATGCATGCATGCATACATACGTACATACATACATACATACATACATACATGCATGTATACATACATACATACATACATACATACATACACACATACACACATACATA